TATTATATATATATATGCACACTTCTGAGGAAGACGGCTGCTCTGGATTCACAGTCCATCTTTCTATCGAAGTCCAGGATTCCGGACTGGTGATAGCAGGTGGCTGACTGAATTTTTGTTCAGTGCACTATGCCCAGTTGTCCCAACGTTCTTCTTTGGCGGTCGCCCCACTTAAATCGCTGTTTTTGATTCAGACCGGAGGATCACGCATTCTGCACATGTCCTGACTCTTCCTTTTTGTACCACTTTTCTTACGGTTCTGTTTGGTTTGGGCTGGAGATTGGGCTTGTCCTCCTCAAATCAATCTTCTCTGTGTTCCGATCTGCGTTCTCTTTCAAGGGGATCACCGGCACGTTGATGACAGGATCAGCTGATTTTTAAACAGAATTGTCAATTCAATGCGCACTGCGAGATAACACACCCAATCACTGGATACATATGTACTATTCAGCAAAAAATCCACATTATAAATACTCTGTTATTCCGCCTCATAATTTTTAGTCGTATATTTTTGTGGAATAGTTGCCTTGACTCATTTTTAAGGTCGTATACGCACCGATCACCCCACGCCATGTGTTTCCAATAAATGATCATGACCTAATAACACGCATTTTGCCAAAATCGTCAATCGCATCACACTTGTGCGCTGGTCAGACAGGTGAATGATGAGCTTTTGACACGAACGGAAGTATGATGAAAGGCCATGTATGATTAACGTCGACTCGTGGCACGCAGAGGAATCTTCGATGGAATGTTCTGTGAATGGTTTCGAATGAATCTGCAAATTTATATTCCGAGGCGCATCGTGTGTGCTGTGGAATCACCAGAAAATGCTAATGCCATGGCGTTACTACCTATCGTTGCAGAGCTTCAACCCTGAACGCTGCCGTAATCATGCTCCAATTTGCCTTGATAAAGTCTTCTTTCAAAGAAGATGAATACTTGACGTAAAAAGTTAGAATGCGGTGCCGTCTCCCGGGCATTTGTCACACAAATACATATATACTAACGTTATCCCCATAATTCACAGATGTATGGTGAGTATGTTAGCTGGCATTTTCTTTGATGTACGTTTAAATGAAACGAATATGTATCTACGATTTAAAATTAAACAAAGGTATACAACCTGCCCATAGAGTACCGTAATGACTGCTGTATCTGTACTTGATATTGGTGATATGATTCTATATTATTGGAATAATCTCTATGTTTTATGAGTACTGATATTTTTCGCCCTTCCTCCTTTTATGACATCGAAAAAAAACTAGGTTCTTCCTGATAGTTTGGTACTGGAAACGAGAAGAGTTTATTAACTACTAAAATTGTTTCTAAATACCTTTATCAATTTTTACGAGGAATTCTCAGGCGTGCGTTGCGAATTTCTCGAGTTCCAATGATACTTTTGCATCTCAGTTAAGTCGGGGATCGTAAGACGTGAATTTGATAGATGCTTTGTTTCACAAAACTAAATTCTATTATATAGTGGTGGCTACGCGCGATTAATCAAACAGGATGTAATGAAAGGCAGTCCGTGACCGCAATACCTCTGGAATGCAACTTCGAGACCGCAGTTTTTTCGAATTAGAGCACTTCACCCCTTCACCTGAGGAGGGTCAGTACACATGAATCCCACGCCCGAGCCAGCTGAATGGTGTATTTAGATAGGGGTGCTCGATTGTTTAGCGATAAAATAAAACTGGAACCGCGATAATCGAAATGAATCCGTTGTTTGGCTCGATATCACACTGAGCTTTCCAGGGGAGGGTACATAATCAGAAACCGGTTCAAAGCCGTCCGTGAACATGCGAACTACTTCCATACCCATAACCAGTTGTTTACGGCAGAGATACATCAGTTTTGAACACTGATGTTGTCCTGTCTATGATGATAATGACCACTGTTGGCAAGCTATTTGGTGAATAGTACACGTCAACTCATTTCCAAGTTTGTCCGCAAACGCAGTGTTATGCTGATTAATACCATCGGGATGGATTTATCAACTCACATTCGGTGTGAATCGTAATGTGGGTAACACTTTCGGCGATCCTTTTTTTCTGACGTCTTTTTGTATGCAAATGAGAACGAGTCTGTGATTAGTACCAGCTACTTGGAAGCAAATTATTCTGCTGTTCGTCATGCTGGTCGATAGTTCCTTACCGAAACCCTCTGGTCATCCTGTTCTGCATTGTCATGAAAATCGAACATCATCTTACTTGTTGTTTTCGAGCTTGCCATCCGAATTAACAGTCTCAATCGCGCAGTACTTCGAGTTGGAGGAGAAAAGCAGAAAAGGCGGCCACCTGAGGGGCCAGTCAACATTTGACTATGGGATGGAGATTCCGTGATTGACCGATGAATGTCAGTACATCCTGTTTTCCCGCGAGTTAATCACACTGCTGACCAGTCGCTGGTGGCCGAATGATTCAGCGTCCAAACTACCAGGCGAAATGTCGCGAGTTCGCAACTCCGTGGAGTTTCGTCAGATATGCACCACTCATGATTCGCAACAAGGATGAAACAGCTGTACAATACTTCTCAACTTTCAGTCTGTATGGAATCTCGGTTGAAAGTGATGAATCTGATACAATGAACAATGAAGCGTCGACATGTTTCGGAGGTATGAGCAGCATATCTTCTACAATGACGTCTGCAGTGGTACGCGCGTGTCAGATAAGAAGTTGGTAAACATCTGTGGTGAATATCATCTGTGATCTGCCTCAGAAACCGGTTGTTGTTTACATTTAGCTACTCTATATTTGGCCTTGACCAACTCGCGTCGCCAGACTACCGACCACACCTACCAAACAGACTTGACTACAAGAAGCGTGTGAAGGGCATCCTTCCAGCATGGCTACACGAGTGGCACAATGCTAGGGATAGGAACTGAAGATAGCCAGTTCGGAGGAGCTTCCAAGTTACGCAGTTGCGTGTGAAGGGCATGGCTACACGAGTGGCACAATGCTATAGGTAGGAACTGAAGATAGTCAGTTCGGAGGAGCTTCCAAGTTACGCAGTCCCAGTCTCTCTGAAGTATTTCGGAACGGCTGTTAAAAAGTGTAAGTTGATCCGATCAAAAGTTACTGAACAAGTCCTGGTCAAAAGTGCTACACACACTGTAAATCCTACGGCCAGTCCTGTTGAGCAGTCAAGACACAAGTCCATACCATACGTCTGCGTTTAGCTGAATTTGGCCCCCGTGAGAAACTTATTCTTAGGAGCCCATATGGATGGCTCGTCTCATCCGCTCTGTTTCAGACTCACTGTTGACCAGATACATTCGTGGTATACTGTCGAAGCCCGATCAGTAACCTCAATGGCTTTGAAAGTTGACGTCTAGGTTTGCGATTTTGACGGTTATGATGATTAGAGATAGTGCTTCTACCTTCCTTTGAACTGCTTGCAATTCGTCACATTTTCCCCAAATAAATTTGAGCAAAAGCCTGAACAACTTACAAGTGCTTGTTCAGCAACTGGCTGATAAAGGAATACGTCATCAAAAAATGCCGTATCCTACGCTTATGAAATCCAGCTGAGAAAATGAAATTAATTGATTTGAGTATGTTTTACTGTACTAGTCAGATATCTCACTTGCGAATCCATCTTACGGATATCGTGTAAGGAGAGGAAACAATCAATCTACCGAACATAGGTGGCAGACTTGCAATGTGCCAGTTGCATTATTGTACGGATGCATCTCAGGACGGTTTGGATCTTCTAGCCTACTAAGCGTCATCAGCAAGGCAGAAAATGATATCCGGAAATCCTATATCTTTTCTACCCGCGTGAGCGTTCTAGTACCACGCGTTAGCAATCAATACGAGACAATGGAACCACTCGTGATCTGCAACTCTTGTCAAGTGAATGGGAAAAATAGGAACTCATACACCACTTCACACCATTCATCCATCGAGAAAGATCGTAATTAGCCTGGACACAATAAATCTTAGCTTCAATACAGCTGTTTGCCTATTTCACGTTACATGTGAAATATTCTCGTTTGTCTATTAAGAACATATGTATGAGCAAAATGCCCCTTTTGATAACTTATGGCTCTTTATTATATGAATCCCGCATAACATCCCTGTAAGCATCACAGTACTAGTGGTGTTGGAAGGCGCACACGCCTTTGCCTCCGAAATCCTGTTCAATAGTCATTTGAAATAATGAAACTGAATAATAAACAGTGAATCGCGCTTGTTATTCACCTAAGAAAACGGTGAGCAGTCACTGGTGCACGTACGGGTCGTTACGTACACACGTGCACAAACCGGCTTATGGATGTGCGTCGCCGCAACTTCGGTCGTGCACAGTATTCGGACCGTCGTTCTTCATAAGAGTCTTGAGTCTGTCTCTTTTGTGACGGTAAACGCAGCCATAGAATATTTTTACGTTGGAAACGTAGACGTGTGGTCTGAGTGAGCTGGAAGCTTCAGGTTCGAGGTCTTGTACACCTAAACGGTCGAGGATGCTCCATTGGTGATTAAAGGCCGAAGTACTCACAATATGATGCAAAAAGGATTGGGACGGACTCTCACCCTTATGATTTTGGCCGGTATACCTAGCTCAAAGTCGGTGGATCAGGTTGATTTTGGTTAAAGTAAACCCATATGGAACAATAAGTCTTGGGAAACCTGTAGATACCCCATGTGGTTGTTTAAATTTGCCCTAATTCACTGCTGCGGTGGACCTAAAGTTTTTTTCGTCAAATTTGGAGTTTCAGGTCTCTCAAACAACTAGCCGTAGAATTTTGTAATCGAATAACTAATGCAGCATAATTTGTCATAGTCACTCTAGCTCGTATACTGTTCGTCGACAGTCTCCATCAAAATTATGGTTAGATACATTGCATCACTGTTGAACAGCTCTTGATGAACGTTGTCAACCGACGGTTGGAATCTAGTTTCTCAGTGTCGTAAGTGCATCAAATGTATCCCAGTGCACGTCAGTTCATCTGTGATGCCAAATCAATGACCCCCAGTGCTTACTTCCGATACTCGAAGGCAAGACCTCCACGGGAAGCCCGTTTTTATAGATCTTGTTCTTCTGAGGAGCTACCGTAGACTGACATTTGTGATAACCTTAATGACCATTCTTTCGTTCGCTTTCTATCCTTTTCGTATCCCAGTTACAAGTAACATCGTCGCACAGCCGTTTCAAGATCCTGCTTTCAAGGTGCACGCATTCCCAGTCACTACTTCATCTAACAATGGAAATAGCACAGAACCTGGTTAGTGCCTTTTGTTTTCCTTTTTTTCTCGAGAGTGTTTGATTCCCCCGTGGACGCTTCTCGTTTCTCGCGAAGAAGGGTCTTTACTTCCATAAAGGAAACTGCTCACAAGATTGCTGAAAACTCTTCAACAGCCCACGACCGATTTTGCCCTTTTTGGGGCTCATCAGGTAGGCGCAGTCCCCGAGTTCCCCTCAACCTTATGTTCTACTTGAAACCAAATTGAACTGTTTTCTGGAAATACGCTCATTTGCAAATCAATTTGGTTTTCACGAGAGACTCAACTGAATCTCTCTTCACTCCTAGATCCTAATGAATGACCAGTTCTAGTCTACTTTATTTTTGTCAGTATCACTTCGTAGCAGACTGTGGCTTTTCAACTTCCCTTGTATGTGTGGATTAAGTGTGTGATACTTTTGACAAGAGCTAGCTCGGTAGTTATGCCGCGAATCTAACGACTGGTCCATGTTTCGAATCTAACCTCCACTGTTCTTGTCTGGGCTTGGACAACCTGGCAATATCTCAGGACTTGTGCTTCCGTCGGGTGGCAGCCAACTAAGCACCAACGGAGTGTTACATATGAACGATTTTTATCATTATTACTTTCAACAACCGGGCACCTGTCGTCCTCAGATGAACTGGACGGAAATTCCACTACCTTAAGGAGTTTATAATCGGAGTGACTTGTTTCATTATGAAGCGCAATGATCATAGGTTGAATGAATGTACGAGAATTGATCACGTGACTCTTTAGCGTGTGACACTTAGCCAAGCAGGTTCTCAGAACATGTATGCTCACTTTCACCCTACTGAGCACAACGGTGGTGAACGATGGGTTCGTTCTCTGTATTTGCATTTCTGGAACCAATGACGCAAACAAAGAATGTTACGTGACCTCACTGGTTTCGTTATCTTGCTCTTTCATCATTCCAGCCCGAAAACGTGTCAAACCCGACGATCTGACGCCTTCTACAACGACGTATGCGTATTACTTTCAGGTGTGTTTACCGTTTTTGGAATGATCATGGCTTTTCTTGCCCGGACTGCGTGCTTTTTGGCACAGCGCCACTAGTTACTGAGTCAGTATTTGGTGTGCAAGTCTACCTATCATAAACAAGGCAAAAAATGTGTGGTGTCGCCACCAACTCCTGTCTTTCGCACAGTCAAACCGATAGAGTGTGTCATCCGAGGCGGATCGCTTACGCAGTTTCGCCATTCATAACGTATCTGCCTACGTTTACGCGTCTTCTCTGGTCCTATGTATTTGCGTCTGTGGGGGTGACAGACATGGTAGGCGAGGTAGGGAATTTATATCACAGTTTTCCGCAAGTTACTGACAGGCTAGTTCTGTTAAAGGCAGGTTAGACAACAAACCTTGAGCAACTAACCGAGCAGTTCATGGTTCGTACTCAGGCGGGGATTTTCCAGGCTTGTGCAAGCTAGAAGCATTTGCCGAGTGAGGGTGAATGGCAGCTGTGCACCGAAAAGATCAGTTCTTGAAGCTTGATGTGTTTTACCTTTTTAGTCGACATCTACCCCGATTGGTTGTGGTATTTTGTGATAGATTACTCGCTACTATCGGTGCTTCCGAATCAAACCTCATATTTCTTTCCCAAAATATATTTGTTAGTAGGTAAATCACGTGTCGTTATGGAAAATTGAGTTGTTATATTTGCTTCACCTGACCTCTGAACAACGCGCAAAGGTCTAAGCAACTATTCCTTGATGTGTTTCACCATCCAGACTTATCAACCGAGTCGCAAGGTTGACAGGGAGAAATGTGCGACGCTCGGAGTTCCGAGGTACGTTTTTCTATGGTTCCCTTAACTTGTTCTTTCATTGTTTTCCGTTAGTATTGCTCACATCATGTTTTTTTTTAATTTCCTGGCACCTTTCTCCCTGAACGAGGAGGGCTTGACCGTTGATTCCGTCCCTAATAGTTCTCATATGGTCATTTAATTCGCCTTGTGTCTCTGTGCCCAACTGTCATCCTTCCTCCTAAAGTATTATCACATCGTTAGGCTCGAAGTTTGTTACTGTTGTTGGTACTATCAGTATTATCATTGTATGAACATTGTATTCCATTGCTGTGAATTCTGGTTATCAATCAATATGATTCTGACACGACGAAGTATCCCCTAGATGCCTGATAGGGCCATGTTTGGCCCTGAGAACACTATGGACTTTAATCTATCCATATAGTTGCTGTTGTTTAGAACAATCAAATGAACTTGCACATAGCTGAGTGTCAAATAATATTTGCGTGAACTTCTGTCTGGGGCCTGACAGTTTCAGTTTTCCCCACTAAAGTCGCGTCATATTTCGGCAACAAGATAGCAATATTTTCTGACCTCTTCTGTCGATTTAGACGGCACATATTCAGCAATATCTTATTGGACTCAATCCGACCAACACTTAGGCGTCTGTGGTAGTTTTTTAACCTGTCTACCAAGTGCCGTTTTCAGCTCTGATGACCTTGAAAGCGTCGGTCCAGCGATTAGCTCTGTACTACGCGAAGTGGACTCATTGTTTCCTACCTGTGGCCGTCACGTCACACTGCGTAATATACGCTGAAGTTAACTTTGTTTCGGTCTCATTCTCAGCAGTCTGAAAGCTACAGTAACCCCCTAAACATACGATGTATTTGCCAACCACGTTAGCTCTAAACCTTTTTGCTATACAGAAGAATAAGAATAGGTTTCTTCCCACCTGTCGACCGACCAGTAAAACTTCTGTGTTTTTGGTACTTTACAACTAAAATAATGTATACTTTTCTATTCGTTCTGCTTGCAGTTTCCTTAGACAGTATTTTATAGTACTGGTGAGCAATCCTTACCGGCTTGAATCGACACTCAAAGGAGTCGGGCTGAGACCACCTTTGGTAGATTTGTGAGCGCATGTACTGTGGGCTATTGAAGTACGGTCTAGAAACAGTGGCTTGGCCTCTTTTGTGTTGTTTTTTTGTGACGAGCTGTTGCCTACGTGTTTGGGCTTAGAGCTACAACTGAGACACCGCGTACCCATCACGTTTGGAACACAGGCATTTACGTGGTCGATCGCATCCTGGTTATCCACAGTGGTAAGGCTTCCTTTTGTGTCAAGAAAAGTTCATGTTAGGCGTTGGTGGCGCTTCCTTTTGTGTCAAGAAAAGTTCATGTGTCATCTTGTTGAGGCTAGATAAAACGCAATCGGAATAGAGCATGCCCTATATTGGATCACTGCAAGAGTAAAACTTCAAAGACAGCACTGTTAATTGGCCATTCGATTGCTCTTCTTATCCACTAATTATTTGGTACAAACATCATTTCCAGTTTGACAGACTTGCTTCGTTTCCTTCCTTCTTCGTACGCTTTTCGAGTCGCTGGACGTCCCTACCTATCACTCGGATATGATCTCCAGTGTATGTCTTAATTGGCTCACTGTTTGTTGCCCTACATGACGCCGGTAGAGCTTTGTTCAACTCAGCAGTCGGTTGCCCTTTTGGGAATTATAACAATGGTTAGTGGAGATAGGATCTGAACAACCAATTCTGGAAATAATTCGGAATATGCAGAAACACCAATTGGACAGTAGGAACCCATCCAGAACACATGCTTCCTGGGATATATCCAGGCCAAGACGAGGCTTTCTGAATCTGTCACAGTACTGTCGGAACTTGGCGAGATACCAGTAGGGATTCTCATCAATGGAGGTGGCTCAATGTTTAGAGCGCAAATTGACTTACCAGAAGGTCCATGGCTCGAACCCAACTTCCTCATTTCGATTTCTCCTGTCTAGGCTGACCTGGCACTATCCAAGCCCTCCTGCTTCCCACGGGTGACATAGCAGGTAGGAATCGGAACGATGCTACAGCTAAACGATTCATTTTTTCTCATCAGACAAGTTTCGATGCAGAAGAGAAAAGGAGTACATGGGCGTCAGTTTTTTTTCATCTCTGGCCTGAAACTAAATGGCTTTCTTTGACTCTGTAAATCACCCGACATTCTAGTTTCTAACACCCATCGGTCTTGAGTCGGAGCACCGGCTATCTCCAAAATGTCACTACACCTAGGATTCTTATTATCCTCGGATAGTGGTACAGAGGCTGGGGGACTCGTGTGATTGTTCACTTTAGCGGTTAGTGAGTCTTGTTCAATATGCCTACGCCTATTGTTCGCACTTGCCATTCGTTGTCGTTGAGCCTGTTGACAGCCCATACGATCTTAGTCACACTGACATACAAGCAATTGGTAGCCCTTCACACATTGTCTTTCCAAAAAGCGTGTAACAATAGTTTTTTCTCTTTGTCAAAAAATTAGTTTATGTAGTTCGAAGAGATAAAACGCCGTCTTGGGTAGGAAAACGAAACCTAGCAGATGGGCGACAAGTTTTGGTCATTCAAAAGGGAATGTGTTTACGTTTTTCCGAGAACCTCAGCTCGGTTCTTTTTGTAGATTCTTACCAACTTCTTCGCTACTGAATGTGGTTACGCATCAGCGTTTCATTCACTGTTGTTCGTATTTTTTGGACTTGCTCGGTCACAGTGCTGTCAATAAATTTCACTCATTTATGTTTGTCCGCAACAATCATAGCAGAGTATTTGTTGATGAGAATTTTTACTACCCACTTGAGTATTGTCAGGCGAGTGACTGCTGAGCTAGCCTCTGACGTCTTTAAAGCGATCAAAGCGGCACAGCTGAGAATCAACCAACACGCTAGCTCCGTGCCTCAGAAATAGAATTCACTTGAAACGATTAATGATCTGAGTATTTCCAAACCATTTGGTCGTTCCCATCATTTGTCTTTTGGCACACTGTCCCAATGAATCTGAACTCAAGAACGAATGGTTGTTGAATGCGATGAATGTTCCAGAAAATAGTTTACCAAATTTCCTGACCCTGTATACTAAAGTAGCTTATTAGCTGCAGAATGATAGACAGGCTCTAAATTAGTGCTGTTGTACCAGTTCGATGCACAACTGCCGCAGAATTCGATGGTGGCGAGGGCTATGATACCGCTGGGCCTTCAAAGCCCGATCTGAAAAACCAGCGTAGGGTTTGAATCACGGACCTTCCGGTGAGTGCGTTCACTCACCGCTGAGCCATTTCGAGCACACGGAAGCCCGGCTAGTCGTTGAATAGAACTGCTGTGATGCCATGCGAAACGCCATTATGCATCAAATTGCTGTGATGCCATGCGAAACGCCATTATGGCAAAAATACTTTCAAGCGATATCATGGAGGCTTGTACCATTCCCGTGAGTAGTATGCAAGATTAAATCTGCACTAAACAGTGGTAGGTTCCAAGTTTCGCGACCATGTTTGTTCTGCTACCGGTGAGTGCGCTCACGAGGTTCGCTGGTCGGCAACACATTTAGGCCAATTAAGCAACGGTGTACCTCCCTCTTCGTAGGAGCTTGAATCGTTTATCGTAATAAGTAACGGGCAAATCGAATAGATCGGGATAAAGCGAGGAATGGTACGGGAAGTGGTAAAACGAGAATGCTGACGACAACGTGAACCGAGAAGACGAGTGTATTTAGAGCGAAAATTGTGCAAAGTAAAATCATCAGCGTTGGAGCAATTCAACACTAAAAACAAATATTTGGTCGTAATGAGTTGCCTGAAATACTAATACAATGGGATGGGAAATATCTCCAACTTTTTTGCGGGAACCTGGCAATATTTGTGTCGAATAAAACTTATCCCAGGAGGAGTGATAACCGGTTAATGTACAGGTGAGAAGCGCTAAAGGCAGCTGGCGTCGGCTGCATCTGAGGCCTGCTTATCTTCGATTTTTTGTCGACAAACCCGATTTCACCCTTGTTTTCACATGATGATCTACACCTGGGTTGTATGCTGATACGGGCTATCGAGCTGCTGTTAGAATTCCTGTTTTGATGCGATCATTCTAAGCGTTTCCCATCAAAATTGACCGCCTTTCTTTTTAGCCCTGATCGTTATCCAAAATCACAGTAGAAGTGTACTCGATTACCTGATGAATCTTCCCGCCTTTGCAGTGTGTTGAACCGATAAGCATAAGTGATTCTTACTGATCAGCAGCCGTCCCTACACAGAGCAGAATCTTCCCGGTAGACTGAGCAAGGATCGAACGGGATTGACGGTGTGTACGACATCCAGCACACACAATCCCACACCCATTATTTAGCTCTTCTAACAAAGTAAAATAAAGTGATAACATTCGCATCTCCTTAGCCTTTTGAATGACATTCCTGTGTGCTAGCGATTCAGTGGCTGGATTTCAGATGCACTTGGTAACTTCAAGTTTCTAAATTAAAACAGCAGAGTTATGTGGAAATAGCGCATGTTTCGTGCGTCGCATGTTACCTACAACGCGCAAGCTTCTAAGTTAAATCAAGTCAGTATGCTTTCCCTAAATACCCACTTAGTTTGTCCAGAATGTTTCTTCTTTCCTAAGTTGGCGTTTCTTCCTATACTTGGTTCTGTGACTGTCGTGACTGGACTTCCGGGGGCGTTCTCCCCTCCCTATGGCTTGTTGCTTACACCCCAAGCGCCTGTGTTCGCTTGGTGGTATGTCTGCCACTCGATCAATAATTTTTACTTATCTATCTAGACGGCGTCGATTGCATTGAATTTGCTACTGTTATTCATTCTTGGTAGGGTCTGAGATTGAATTTGATCCTGAAATGTCCACACACACACGCACCCGTCATCGTCATTTAATCCATGGCTGGGAACCAATGTACTCGGCCGGGTCGATCGTACTGCTACCTCCCCCCCCCCCGGGAAAACCCACAACCCCGATGGTCTTCTTTACGTTTGACGTTCTCATTTTTTCATGTCTAGTTTATGCGCCTTTGACTCCATTCTACCAGCCATTCAGCTGCTTATTTCTCCGTGTAGTCTGCTTGCCTTGTAGCTAAGCTACTCTCAAATAATGCGTGGGGACTTGAGTTGCCTTGCAAGCACCGAATACAAAGTTCGCCGGATATATCCTTAGTAACATTAGGTTTGTCGGATACGAATCGAAAGACCTTGTGGATATTCTCTGAGTTTTTTTCCAGTTTTATGAACCACAAACCTGCTAATTTTTTCACCAATAGCCTGTACATAAGTACGTATGTTCTGCAAAGCTGCATGAAGTTGTGAGAAGGCGTGAAATACGCAGTTAACCTCATCCGCGGACACGTTTCATCTGCTTCACACAGGTCTTCCTGCTTCGGCTACTCTGGTTTGGTTGTGTTTACTGGCCCAAACAGTGTTACCGTTGTCGCATTCAACCGACCGCGCAGAGGTAATCGTCAATATAGCTGCGCCATACAGTCGTTATTCATGAAGACTTTTTGAGACCATATCAGTTAGATGTATTAATCTGTAATTCACTATAGCCATTCCGTGTAGGACATCCCAAGCGCATTGTTTGCATAAGTTCAGCGTCTGTGATCCCTGGTAACAGGTCTCACCACAGAGAAATATGGTATTCCTCATCTCCTGTAGATGACCCACCTTCAAGGGATCACGGATTAGATCCTGAAGATACTTCGTAAGGGCATTCTGAGACTTTGATGTATTCTTTCTGTCGTATTCGTTGATTTCGTATGGCGCGATCTTTACTAAACCTGGATGGCTACAATCCTAATATGGTTCAAACATTCCGTTGTGCGTGTGAGCGACCTGATTATTGCATTACTAATCAATGACCTGACTCTGGTTCTTACCGTGCTTGATGCTCCCTCGTTTTCTTCATAATCCCGACTTTCCAACAGATCCGTTTATGAATCGCCTTTAGTACGCGATCTACTTGATGGGAAGAGTATCACCTTAGACAACGGTATCGTAGTAAGTTGTATTGAACCCACGTGCTTCATGAGGATTATTTTGTCTTGTATCGAACCACACGCAATGAAGATTTTTTTGTCTCTCTTCTCATCGTCTTATCTTACCGTAGCTCCAACCGGATGAAGTGACGTCGCCGGCTCCATTCACTCCTAATTTTCTAGTTCTCGACTGCCCAACAGAGGACTTTATCCCAGCATTGAGTGAGAACGAGGCCCTATTATCCACCTTAGGACATAAACCCGAAGACGAACCCGCACTCTACCCTGGCCTCTCCTTCATTGTTCACATTGTTCCACAAGGCATGTTCTCCTCGGAGGTCTATCAGAAATTTGTCCAAAAGTGAGTGCTTGAAAAGCGAATCGCACGTGATTGGTGAAATGTTGTAGTTTCACTGCTTTCAACGGTGTCTCTGCTGTTGTTAGTCTTGCCTGAGTTTTTTCAACTGACGTGTGATTCGACTGGAAAGGCGAAGTTTGGCGGCGGACTTAAACCTATGACCTCCCTTTGGTACCAGACTTATTCTGTACTGCACAAGATACTGACAACGGTGCCTATAATTACACTCATGTGGGTGAACCCCACGCGTTATTCGTCTGTTCAATGACCTGTGTCAGTGGCGATATCAAGCGCTTTGTATGACTAGCACAACTTGTCAGGCTTTTATTCTCTCCAGATACCTGAATAACTTTGGTTCAAATTAGGATAAATTAGAAGGGTGTTCTCGGAATGCAACCTTAAGTACAAAACTAGAAAAAAACTGAATAGTTTAAAAAATAATTTCTTTAATCGCTGTTGCAATCATCAGAATAAAATTTTCAACCCGGAAAACGGCGTCGTGAACAATAGAAGATTTGTGGTGTAAAACTACTTGGTTTTTGGAGTGGAATGCAAGATTACCACATAGTCACTGGTTCGGTCTTTGGAGTTGATCGCTTTCGTAACTGCCGAGTCTCACTTCGTACAGTTACAGCGAACTATAACCTATTCTCGGGAAGTACACTCATTTGCAAATCGATTTGGTTTTTCACGAGAGATTCAACTGAATCTATCGTTTATGATGTTCCACAACTGAATTTGCTGCACACGGGCCGCCTCATGTTTCAGTTGGCACGATATTCGAGATATCGCAGTCTATTTTCATAAACGAGAGATTCACTTGAGTCTCACGTGAAAACCGAATTGATTTGCAAATGAGTGTATTTTTCGAAAACAGTCCAATTTGGGTTCAAGTAGAACATAAGGTTGACGGAAACTCGGGGACTGCGCCTACCTGATGAGCCCCCAGAAGAGCGGAAGCGGTCATGGGCTGTCAAAGAGTTTTCAGCAACCTTGTGAGTAGTTTTCTTTATGAAAACGTGTCCTATTCTGTTTGCAATAACATACATTGTTTTGACAATTTGTTCCCAAGACGTTGCTGCGGATATGCAGCCATGGTTTTCTTGAATCCCTGAATGTTTTCGATCTTTGGGTGATTTTGACCGCAACGTACGAAGCCGTTGAAAACGAGATTTTCTGATTCATTTTGGGTTTAAAACAAAGCATAGTTAGTACGACCCAGGCGAAAAAGCATTCGTCACCAATGATGTCGGTTCGGTGCCTGGAAAAAGGAATAACATAGCTATAGGTTCAGTCTCACATCACTCTCGTTTTGAACAGTCGTCCTCCTATCCTGGCGCAATTATTCATGTGAATCCACACCAAAGGGGGGAAGCACTGGACTCGAGTTTCGTATCTTAATCACAAATTTCTTGACCTCAAGTGAGATAGTGAATATACTTCCACCTGATGATTCCTATTAGCCTTGCGTATCGAAAATCGCGTTCGTTGTTAGGTACTGTCGCTGAACTAGCATGATCGATGACTTTTTCGCTTGATTCTAATGACAGCATTGCAGCATCAAGAAGATGGTTTTGTTTTGAATCTTCTTGGAAGATGTTGGTAAAATTATTTTGGGTCTGGCTTCTTACAGACTATTTCACAAACTGGACTCAGTCCAGACGGCCAAACTTCCCCAACTCTTCCAACATATACGGCTGTTTTCCAAGACACTGTCTTCCTCCATCTTTCTTCTCTATGCACATTGGTAGCTTTCCTACCCCCGGTTTTTTTCATCCAATGCAAATATGCTAGCGATGTAGTTCTTGGCTGTTAGTGTAAGACGCTAGTAGATAGCATCAGTTTACAGACCGGACTCAGTATACGCACGAGATGATCTCAGGGAGTTCACTATCAATCAACGTCAAAAACTGTTCGGATACAGGATTCCTTGGCAATGTTCTTCCCCTTTCCGTTAATGAGGTTTGTATTCCAAGATCCTCAGCGGTGAACTACTTGGGTCTAGCAACCTGAGGTCTCCTGATCTCAAGTTCATTTTTATCAAACTGTGATGAAGGTACCCCACAACCTCAACTTAGAGTTTGTTCACTCGTAAATCCCTCCACGCTGGATTTACTGCTCTTCTGTTTGTTGTATTCCCCGGAACATTTGAAAAAAGGGTTTCGCTTCATTATGCGATTCTTTAGTCCTGTTTTCAGTTGCACTGATGCGTCAGAGGAGCTTTGGTCAGCAAGCATGAAGACACTTTCTATAGCTTTATCTGACGATCACGGCACCTACCCTTTCCATCCTCTTCTCTCTTGGGCCGTTTCAATTTCGAGTACTCAGTCCAAATTCAGACTACAATCTCCTTAGCCCGATGCACCGTTGGCAGTACCTTTTTAGCAGGCAGTCTCCGGTCACTGTTTTCGGTTTGATAAGCTGTATGTGATATTAAATATAGATCTTTCTTCCCTTCCAAATGCGTTCACATGCCCGAAGCTCCTCTTAACTTTACTTACGGCTGGTTTTTCACTAGAACCGGAAAATTCCCACGCGACACCTGAGGAAACACCGTAACCACGCAAACCTTGTTACCATATTCTGCGACTTAAAGCCCCAAGAAATGTTAGAAACTCATGTTCGCTAAACTCCCCGCTTCACACCACATCAGTTCCTGGTATAAGCTACGCCAACGTTAACACTAGCCACCCAACGATTTGAGTTTGTCGACGAAAATGACACTGTTTCACTGGACTAGTATTGGATCAGTGTCACGTGGGACACCGTAATTAGGGATGAACCTTCCGCGTTTCTGACATGGGGTAAGCCAGCTCCCCATCTGTCTTGAGCATCTCACGACCACTCGTCTGTCGTGTTGTTCTTCAGGGATCATTCTTGAAGCTGGAGTCACTGTACTAGTAGCGCGATTTCTTTCGTACCCTATTCGTTTATTGTTTCCCACGTTTCCGCCATCGTTGGCGAGCTATGTAACAAGAATTTATTATACCAATATCTTCCCAGATATCCGGACGAATTTGATTTAGGCAGGCTGGTCTTATTGCTTCATTTAGATTAACTGCATTCAGGATATACTGGTAGAAGTTTCGGGAGTGGTCAATACATTCAGGCCGTGAATTTTACCATCAGATTTGATCTAATTGATGATTATCGTTGTAAAACAGACCTCGCATATGCCTTCTTCCTTGGCAGTAGCTGTGTGTGCACCCACCTCGTCTATGTGTTTCGTGGTCACGTTCATTTGTCACCTTTCTTTAGAGAATTCTGTTGCTTCACTTACCAGTCAGCAGTAGTTTATCAGTGATACATGTATCCTTTTGCTTGTAGTAACAATAATAGTGGGAACGTTTCCAAAAGCGTAGTTCCTACGGCCGCTTCAATTTCGCGTTCTTATTTTTTTGTCATAGTCGTATCATTACGTGTTCCTGCACTGCGCAGTATAGCTGATCATACAAGTGGAAGGCATATCTCAGATAAATGCTACTTATTGACTTGATTGTCTCCCAAGCCAACCAAGTTCACTAACGGCGGACTTTATTCGCATTTGGTGAGGCTGGACAGTCTACCAAATGAATTATTAGCTTATTTAGGATATGGGATGTAACCCTAAAAGCAAGGGTCTGCGAATACGGAACCCAAGCATTGTTTGTTTGAACCTTTTTTTCTAAATAACACATTTATGGCCACATGTGGAGAGCTCACGTGATGCCCTGATTGTAACACGTTGAGTAGTTCGCTCCGATCACATGGTCTTTCAATGCTCCTTCGTTGTTTGTGCGACAAATTCCAGCGACAGACTTGTATGTAGTTAAAAGCAGTTACTACCTTTCTAAAGCTCCCCGTGCCAATGCAAGTTGATTTGTGCGTACTGGCTGTAAACTACTAATGAGTACTGTTAACGCAGTAGTGATTGGTATTCACCTGTTTCAAGTGATGTATTATACTCACTTTACCTGTAGTCTGGTTTAACATAGCCCCTAAAGAGTCTCTTGTAGGAATAGTTACTTTTGACACTCTTGGATCTTTAGTGGGTGTGATCCAGTGTGTGCTCGTGAAATGAACGACCACGGAGGCGCCATTAGCAACTTTTCCCCAACCTGCTGCTCTGATGTATGGAGATTGTTACAACGTTTTACCATAATCCCTGTAGCCTTCCTCTTCTCAAAAGACTTCTGGATTCCTTGTTTTTACGACTCACTGACCTGAATAATTCTCCACTGTTCGCTCACGCTCTCTGAAAACGTACACCTCGAATTCGTTATCGAAGGCTGCATATTAGGTTACATATCACATTCCGAGCCTTGAAAATCTCAGATCTATAATGGAACTCTTTTAGTTCTTAGGAGATATCACCGCCATTCATCACGTGTATCAAACACCTGACGGAAAATGCTGCGGACATCCCTTCTGTATTCAGCCCGGTATATATTGGCGCCAATGATTGATAGCCTGTACAGTCATAAAACTCCGTAGTGATTTAAGCAGACTTATGGACACCTGGAATGTACTAATCCAAACATGTATCCTTCGTCAATAGTTGGGCTGGAGAACTTGGTGACTTGCATCTCAGTGTTTTAGTCATTTCGTACAGTGTCCTGACAGACTAATCTGTATCACCATCTCAGGCCGAGGTCCCTAGAAGTAATGAGGAGGTAATTGGAATACCAAACAGTTAAATACTCAAAGTTGTGTCGGATCAATGCAGTGTACACTGTTGCGCACGCCTTTCCTTATCGTAAGTCTTCGGTGTCTCCGGAAAGAATTTAAGGTCACAAAGTATGGTACCAACACGTAATTGATTTAATGAGCCTACCGTAGTGCGGTCACCTTTCCGTCTTTTGCATTCACTATGGGCCCAATTATACCCACTTGGTTTTCCACGCAGGGGTCTTCGCTTGAGTGCACTATTGATTTTAAGACT